GTGTATCCTTTCTGATTCTTGGTCCAAGAGTCTAAGTAATGTTTCTTTATTAGACTCAAAATGAGACAGTCGTATAAGCGTGGATGCACAAGTTTAAGACTATGAAATACCTCGTCAATGAGGCACTGGAACACTTGTGCTACGTTCTGGAGACCAAATATCGTAGGTAGAGATTCAAAGAGCCCGAAAGCCGTGATGATAACCGTTTTCGGAATGTCACCTAGTGCATTCATGATTTCGTTGTATACGCCAATCAAGTCTATTTACAAAGAATAGTTGCACCAGATAGTGTTGCCATCAAGTCGTATGTACGAGGCAATGGATAGCAATCAGCGATTGATTTGGAGTCCACTTGACATAAATCACCATTGGTCTCCATTCGTTGCAATCCTTTTTCGGTACCATATGGAGTGGGGATACCTATTGGCTACTCAATGACCAAATGACGCTAACAGTGAGTATATGGTCGAATTCATTTCTCGCCAGCCGTAGTTTGTCAGGAGCAAGTCATCGTGCTTTAGATGTCACGGGCTGTCCTGAGTTGTGATGTGATGCATAACGTGGCTGGTTATGCACAGTAGATCGTTTGACGGGCAATTAATTTCCAGTCACATGCCAAAAGTCTGCTGAAGCGTTGGATCTGCTATCGCCTTCTTCTCCACCAGTGACAGGGTGTGACCTACGTAGGTGGTACTCTTAATATCCAGTCTAGTGATATAATCTTTCAATTTCAGCGGACATATACTAGATCGTGATGGTGACGTGGGTCTGTTCCAACGATAGACATTGTGTTGTCAACAGCGAAAAGTTCACTGAAGAGGCTTATACAAACGTACGTTGAGATAAACGTGTTTTCTAACAAAGGTTGCAATTGGTTTTTGATTCGAAGCCTGTTAGTCGGAGGTAGATCCCTTCTGTCAAATTGCCTCTGTAGCCACAGGGACGCTGACTTCGACAACTGTGACAACTAAGTGCCAGGTTTTGTTGACTATATCGTTAATGTGTAGTAGGAGGTTACTGACACTGGTGACGGTTGCTGCCAACCCGTGCCAGCTAGACTGCTATGCATAGTCTTGGAGTTCTTGGAAGCATTTTGCTTCCTGGTCTCATGATACTGACACGACTCATGGTTTCGAGGTGAATGCAGCTTGATATTCGACCTACCAGGTGATTTTCTACGTTAAGGGGAATTCGGTGAACGGTAGGGGGAAATACGGGGCTGTCTGACCTAAGTGGCCGCATAAAAGATTTTGCATAACTCTGTCACTTCAGTATCATTAATCGAAGACTGTGTACAGATCGAGCACTTTGTGATATTTCTAGAATTCTATCAACCGAAGTGGCCAATCCGTCAAGAACAACAACAGCTTACACTGGCTGTGGCAGGTTAAATGGAGCAAGTGTCTAAGGATTCCCTCATAGAAATGACGTTGGTCAATAACTTCTCGCATTCACGCCAGCATGTACACGGCCGACTGATGGCCTTACTTGACATTGCGAAGAAGTCCACCACGACTCTGGTGATGCAGGAGATCATTTCTCTCAAGGACGGCTGCTTTAAGTGTCCGATGGAGATTGATTAACTCTGGGCTGGACATTTGCACAGTAACTGATTTACTTGATTCTCGGGTGAAGCGTGGGAAACTGCAAGAAATTGTGAATGTCAGTCAGTGATCCCACGTTCACTGGATTCACACTTAGCTAACACAAACCCTCCCTCTGCATTGTATAGGCTATATGGCACGGACGGAATAGGGGTGCTAACTGGTTGGATGGGGATGGGCTTAAACATATTTCCACCCATTGTAAAACAAAGACAATTTAAAATTAGTAAGTATAACATAAGGACAAATGCAAAGTAGGATGAACTCATTGGGTTTGTCTGAGTGTTTTCTAGAGATGAAGATTCCGATAGAGCTAACGAGTTTAGAGGCTCAGGTTAATAACGTTCACAGATAGTGCGACGCAAACTCAATCACAAGATCTTATAACCAAAACTCTTATGGTGTTTGTTCAGCATACACGAATGTTCGTATCGGGCGTCCAAATTACGAGTTATATTTCGGGACCAAATCGGAGTGTGGGATAATTGCTTAACTAGCTTGGTATCGTTCACGAACGAACGAACGAAGGTGACACGACGGCTTACCAAATGGCGTGGATGCTTGATTGGAAGCCTTTAGCTAAACAGTTTGACTTAACCAGTGAAGCTCTGTATCCAGTGTTCAGTGATAAATGCTGAGGCCAATAATTCTGGAGAATTACCTACCACTACAAGCCATGAGTAAAAATGATCCAAGAAGAGTTATCCATTTTAGATAAATCCTTACAGGATAATAGCTGACCATAAAAGTACATCGATAAACATGGAGACGTATAACAGTTCACATGTTCGCGTGGAGGGAGGTAAGGAGGAAAGTCGTTCGGCGCGTATCCTGTCTAAATGAATACTACCAAGAATACTATCCCGCTTGTTTGGAAAGAGGCAGTAGTGGTTCTATAACGAGTGTGATTTTGGAACAACTTTTCAGCACTGGTCATTTCACCTCCTTCGAAGTAATCTGCAAAGTGAAGAATAACCTGTATAAGGCAAGGCGCCTTCTTATCCTTCGCATTGCTGAAGCTGTAGCCATTCAGATAGAGAAACCTGAACTGCGCATACAAAAGAAAATTAATCGATCACTTCAATTTTTTTAACTTTGTTTCGGGTGGTTTCTTTTTTCTGACTCATCATAACTCTTATATTTCTTCAGAACTCTTACATGACTCAATATTTTCCCACGTTTTCATATGAATTCTGATTCAAACCCATTCACATTAAATTTCTCCCCTAATGCCTGACTTCAAAACAATTACTCAGTGCCTCTTATACGCTGACTAATATTTGCACCTATGATTACGAAAACTCATCACTTTTGTTACCACCCTCCTCTTTCAGGAAACACTTGCAGAGGAATGCGATTGTACAGGTGGAGAGGAAAATGAATTCGCTAAAGACAGCCTGTTCGCTGAACTGCGTGTTTTGTTTTCATTAAACACGGAAAAAGCAGCGTGGATAAAATGAACTAAAACACATGGGAGTAAACATCCGTCCATCTACAGCTAGCCTTTGAAACAACACACATCGCCGGAATAGTTCTGTCGATACAAATGCTGAGCACACACACATAAGTGTGTGATTCAAATTTTTCTTTCTGTGAGACTCATGTCAAGCAATGAAATGGAAATTCGTGCTAATCTAACTGGAGATAGTGTGTGAGGAACCGAACAGAAAGTGACAGTGGGCCAAAATGCTAGTACAGTTATTGCAGTGAATCATACCAACCACCGAACAACCTAATCAGTTGACCAAAAACAACTGAGAATTGGCTCATGATACTCATGTCTTTAACTGTTCAGTTTGTATACAACAGACAAACAATCACTGTTAGCCTGTTTGCAAAACACGATTAAAACATGAATAAAAGTTTCATTCATTTCATTGAAAAATTACTTGGCAAGTGTCTTAATCGCTTCACCCAAACTCCGGAATACCTAGGAGAAATAAAAATTCTCATTGTTTTACCACTGAAAGGGGACCAATATGAAATTACACAAGCTTCAGGATTGATCATATTCTGTCAGTGACTACTGGTTTCTTTGGTGTAGCACTCCGGTCCATTGTGTATTATATTTTACATTTGAGTATTTTAAAGAGAATTCTGAGTTAAACATTTCACATTCACCAAACATTTTGAGCCATCCTGTTTTGTGATTGTGTTGGAAACTTGTTGAACAATCAGTAGGCTTATGTTCGGTCTCTACTGATGGAATCTACAGTGAATCAGATACACCTTGTGCTTTTCACTGGTGAAGTATCTGGTTGTATTGCTGAATGTTAGTTTTGAGTGGAAAAACAAAGTGTTAGTCTCCTGTAGTCTGAAGATAAATAATATACTCGGCATCAGTCAAAAGATTGACTTGTCTTCACCTATACTTTATACTTGACTGTTTTCTGACGTCTGATCAACTACGCAATTCCACCCTTACATAACATGTTTCTTAACTGTTTCACATATAAAATTAATTTCCAGTTGCTTTCTTCCCTTACAATATTCTTGTGATTTTTCTATACAAACCAACAGGCTTACTAACACCATTAATTCTTTCCACTCTGCTATTCACTTACCTAAAATATATGCTGTTCAACTGGATTCTGATTAACTAAATTATGTGAATACTCTCGATACCAATATTATAATTGTTCTACGTTATATGTGGCTTTGAGAAAACAGCGAAATGGAATGATGGTATGAGATTATTTTGCTCGGTTCACTGTCTTCTCCTTGTTCGAACAGATCAAAGAGAAGAGAACGATATCAAACAACTGTTGATGCATTTAATTGAATTTTAGATTTCCCTCGAATTAATCTCTAACTGTTGATGTGGTTTACATTCTTACTAACAAAGAGTGGTTATGAACACGAATTATCATTCAGCACACTCTCCTTTTTTAAACCTCGTTTACTCAGTCTCTTTTGTCATAACGCAGTTACTTAACACACTCAGATTTATTAGTTTCTCTCATTTGTCATTGTTCAGCATTTCCTCAGCGTGTCACATGAGATAGCAGTTGTTAGCTTTGGCCCAATCCCCGATGGAGTCGTGGGTTGACTCTACTGAATACTTCCACATTTGACTTTCCAACATTCGTATTGTGTGATGTAAGGATTTTGGGTTTTCAGCGACAACCATCATGAACTGTTACCTCGAACTGTGCAATGTTCAGATGATATGTCATAGGTGTCAATGTTTACTACGAAATTGCCTGGAATGTTGTTACATCTCAGTGTTAATTTCTAAAAGTGTAAGAGCCTAGTTTTCAGTTTATTCTTTGTTGAATTTCGAATAATTAATAATGGACATATGAAGTATGATACACACTAGCTAGGTAGATATAGCTATGCTATTAAGTCTGAGCCTGGCCTGAATATCTACGGTCGTATAAGTAACAATAAGGAATGAAAAGCAATATGATTTTTTAGTATGAATGCATTACAATTTAGTACAAATATTTTAAGTTAAATACAGTTTGATACAAGATGACTGTTATATTCGTCGTATGAAAATCAAGCGTTAAATTTTCAATGTTGAAAAATGTTTGTTTAACTAGCTGATGTTCACTTTTGATTCTTTTTCATTGATTTCACTCTAGCCTTTGTCAATGCTATCCAAATTGGTTGTGGTAATAGATCAAATAAAAATGCCTTCAAATCATGACGAATATAACCATAGGTGAAGCTTTCTACGCCTAACATGTCCAGTGCACTTTTCACATATGTTTCTGCAGTCGGTATGAAAAATGTTGGCTTGTCAATCTTCGCCATCGGTGTAGCGACAAGTAGTGGACAGACAGTTTGTATCAGAATCTTTTTATCATAGTCTTCAGCCGAAATGGATCTAGAGAATTGAATAACAAAGGCCTTTGTTGCTGCATACATTGCAATATAAGGAAAGACTTTGACACCAGAGTAGGACGCAATATTAATGATAGCTGGGTTGGACTGTTTTTGTGATAACATTTTTGGCATTACTATACGCGTCATTGTTGCTGTTGACAGTGTATTGCAATGGATGATATTTTTAATGAAGTCCTTACTATTTGAACAGCGAGATGATATGAATAAATCCATTTCCCCCATCATTCCAACATTATTGACTAAACACGCGACGGAAGGGAGTTTCTCAATTTCAGGTTCAATTATATCATATACATTATCCTAAACAAATGTTGATACACAATTATTACTGTTATTATTATCATTATCATTTTTAATATGAATTTAGAATTGTTAACAAGTGCGTACAGATAAAAAATACATATGTTTATTCATAGGTTGGAAAACAGAAAGATGGAATCAGTAATGTTTCCTTCGCATGTATTCGTCATCTAATTGAGAGTTCACCGATGTTGTCAGCTGAGGGTTACACCATGTTTGCAAGATGGCTGCATTCACTGGAGTGTAGGCTCTTACGCTCAGAGGTTTTACTTTGTGATGCGGTTGTGTTCTTTGACCTTACGATGCGAATTTACTAGAAATCACAACCAATGTCTTCATTAGGCACAATCGGATCGTTCATAGAGAATTCAAATAAGTTCACTTCATATTTAAGTCTGCTCTGAAGACGTTGTCTTGCAATACAATTGAAGCATAGGGCAAATACACGGCCTTTTCCTTCACAGATTTCATATGAAGCTTGTTGGGGGTACATAATACTGAAAAAATGCCTCTATTGTTATTTCGTGATTTACAATATTTCCTCAAATGTTGGTTTGAAGCGATCTGATTAGTTACAGGTTTGATCACGAGCTGTCATCACTTGGGAAGCTCTGTGAAAGCAGGGAGAACCGGACAGCTGCCTCGCTCTAGTTTTTGACTCTTCACCAATATACCCTATCCAAGGTCCGAGTCCAGGAGTTTCCGGTTAAACTGCGAGGTCGTACACCAATCAGGCATCTGGACCTTATCTAGTTGGCCGTAAACCTCGAATATAGTTTGACCGCTGTATGAAGGAAATCACATGAAGTTCTAGTGGCGGTCGGGACCAGAGGGTTCCACCAAGTCAGGTAACAGATCAGTTACTCGTCTATGGCACTAGCTGATGGTGGTGTCATACATATCGTGAATTGGCAAAGTTTGAAATTCATACGTCATTGGATCAGATCAATATCTGAGTGGTTTCAAAGCTTGTCTTTATTTGGAAGTTATTGGATCCTGACTTCGGTGGGTGTGTAAAACCCAGATGTCCCAAACTGCAATGAGAAAACTGCCTAGTACTCTATATTTCTCCTGTGGCTCTGTAACTGATGTCCGTTAGTGTTCGATCCTGTAAATTATAACATTTGACAGCTTTTGGGTGAAAAAGTTCTGAAGATCACACACTGCAATAAAACGGAATTCTTCAAACTTTTGTCAACTTATGATATCTCAGTCCAGGAGAATTATATTCCCACTGCATACCAGCTCAATTATTAGCCATACTGTATAAATTCGGCTGCCTTTGTTTAATTTAAATGTAGTTCGCTTGATATGATTATAAGCAATATTTTGTGCTCGAGACGTCGTCAGTTAATATTAGTGTACAACACTGTGTGATTTATTCCTTTCTCAGACGTGAGGCTAGCAACTCCACCCTGTAAACAAAGTTGCTACAGAAACTTCAGCACGATGAACCTCTTTGCACCAAAAGAAAAAGTCTGTGTGGAGACATGGAACGTCCGCACTATGTATGAGATTGGAAAAGCTGCCCAGATCGCAAACGAGATGAAAAGATACGGAATCCAAGTGCTGGGAATATGTGAAAGCAGATGGAATGGAAGTGGACTCACCAAATTGTCAACGGGTGAGTCAGTGATCTACTCCGGTCACCCAGAAGATAACCACACGCACACCGAGGGCGTGGCTATCATGATGTCACCAACGGAAACAAAGGCCCTGATGCAATGGGAGGCGATCTCGTCCAGGATAATGACCGTCAGATTCAACTCCAAAGGAAGGAAAGTGTCAATCATACAATGTTATGCACGCACAAACAACGCAGACCTCGAAAAGAAAGAAGAATTCTACAGACAACCACAGGCAAAAATGGACAATACTCCAGCTGGCGACATTAAAATACTAATGGGAGACATGAAAAATAAACTGGGACCAGACAACACAGGAAGAGAACTCATCATGGGTAGAGAAGCTCTCGGAGAAATGAATGAAAATGGTGAACTCTTCGCCGACTTCTGAGCCTTCAATGAACTAGTGATTGGTGGCAGCGTATACAAACACAAAGATATCCACAAGGCTACATGGGTGTCTGTCACCAGATAGGCAAACCAAAAACCAAATTGACTTCATCTCAATGTTGCTCAAGGAAGTGGAGGCGAAGCCTACTGGACACAAAAGTAAGAAGAGGAGCAGACGTTGGCTCAGACCACTATCTCGTACAAGGAACACTTCAAATCAAATTAAAAGCTTTCAAGGAAACAGGAGCTGCAGATAGACCACAAGCCAAGTTCAACACTCAAAAACTGAAGGACCAGGCTACAAAGGACATCTTCATTGCAAACATAACGGACAAAGCCGAGACCCAAATCAACACCAGCGTAAAGGTCAGCGTCGAAAAGCACTGGAACAACTTGAAAACTGTGTGGAGTCAAACCTGCATGAAAGTTCTAGGCAGAAAGAAGAGACAGGACAAACAGTGGCTCACTGCGGACACTTGGAAACTAATAGAAGAGAGAAGGACAGTGAAACAAAAGATTATCCAGTGCACTGACGAGCAACAAAAACAGGAGTTGAATGCAAGCTACAATACACTGAACAAAAGAGTGAAGAAGAGTGCCAGAGAAGACAAAAGAAAATATTATGAAACCATGGCAAATGAAGCAGAACAAGCTGCAGGCAAAGGAGACCTCGCCACACTCTACCAAACAACTAGGCACCTATCGGGCAAAAGTTCGACACAGATTAAGCCAGTAAAGGATGACAATAGAAAGTCAATCACCAAAGAGGTGGAGCAAAGAAAACACTGGGCTGAACACTTCAAAAGACTTCTAAATCGACCGCCACCTACAATGCACCCAACAATACCAACAACGGAAGCAGAACTACCAGTGAACATTGACCAGAAATCAGAAGTCCTGAATGCAATCAAGATGCTAAAAGCTGGAAAAGCAGCAGGACCAGATGGAATCCCAGCAGAAGCATTGAAAATGGACCCAGAGACACAGCGGACTTGATGACGCCATTGCTAGAGAAGGTGTGGAAAGAGAGCAAATTATCTGAGGATTGGAAGAAAGGATACTTATTCAAACTACCAAAGAAAGGAGACTTAAGTCAATGCAAAAACTGGCGTGGAATTATGCTCCTGTCCATCCCAAGCAAAATACTAAGCCGCATCATCCTGGAGAGAATCAAACAAGCCGCCTGGATGAAAAACTTCGACCGGAACAAGCTGGATTCAGAAGAAACAAATCATGTATTGGTTAAATAGCCACACTACGGATCATCATTGAACAAAGCTCGGAATGGCAGTCACCTCTCTATCTCAACTTCATCGACTTTGAAAAGCCCTTCGACAGCGTCGATCGAGTGGTCATTTGGCAACTACTTAGCTGCTACCAAGGGGTCCCATCGACAATTAAACATCTCATCCAACAGTTGTACGACAGTGCTGCATTCCAAGTAATCCACAACGCGAAACTTACGGAAGCCTTCGAAGTGAGGACGGGAGTGAGGCAAGGCTGTCTACTATCACCAATGATCTTCCTGATTGCAGTAGATTGGATAATGCGACAGACAACGGGAGATGAGGAAACAGGCATAAAATGGACTCACACAAAAAACTTGGGTGATCTGGATTTCGCCGATGATATATGTCTGAGTTCCCATAAACTGGAAGATATGCAAGTGAAAAGCAACAAGTTGGCAGAAGAAGCATCAAAGATAGGACTTCAAGTGAACTTAGATAAAACAGAGGTGATGAAGATTCCTGGCCAACATCAACAGCAACAACAGACAACAATCAGCATAAATGGGAGAAAACTGAAAGAAACAGCCTCCTTCACCTACCTGGGAAGCATCGTTTCAACTACAGGCGGACAGAACTGACAAGGATATCAAAGCAAGGATCGGAAAAGCGAGACAAGCTTTCATTACTCTTAAGTCAGTGTGGAGGTCAGCAGCACTCAGCATGACAGTGAAAATAAGTTCCGGATTTTCAACTTCACTGTGAAGCCAGTGCTACTGTACGGATCAGAGACTTGCACTGCGCGTCATAAAGAGCATCTCAAACAAACTTCAGACCTTCATCAACAGTTGTCTTCGCTCAATACTCAAGATCATATGGCTGGCCAGAAAAGATCACCAACAGGGATCTCTGGCAATGAGCGAACCAACCAGGAACCGATTGTGAAACAAATAGGCAGAAAGAAATGGAGATGGATTGGCCATACTCTGAGGAAACCATCCACTTACATCATTAGGCAGGCCATCGCTTGAGTGGAATCCGAAAGGGAAGCGACGAGCTGGTCGTCAGTGCAAGGGTGACTTGGAGGATGTCATGTGAGGAGGAGATGAAAGCATGTGGGCAGACTTGGAGCGAGGTGGAAAAATTGGCAGAAAACGTAACGCAATAGAGACGCCCGGTTGAAGCCTAGGCTATAATAATGTATGTGAAATTTATATAAATACGTGTTGGTTTCCGTAATAAAACGGTCTGTTGCCAGCCCTTGTCTTCTGTTGTTACAAGTTAAGTATTCTGACCAGCAAACTCGACAGACCGTATTGTATGACAGACATCGGAGTATAATGAGCAGCCATTTGAAATTTCAAACTCAACATTGCAACCACAAGCGCACAGGTGGACCACTACACTGATCGATGCAAGTCCTAATTTATCAACTTGAAAATTTAACCTTGTTAATCTTTGTGCAACTAGTATTTCATTCTGAGTTTTGTGAAGGTTAAAGCCAAGAGATTTAATTTCCATAAAGATATTTTATCATTGAAATTTTCTACTTTTGAAGGACAACCGTCAGTTGGACAGAATGGTACAACAACAGGTATTCCCAATTATATTTCGAATCACTGTCAAGTAAATGACTGAAAGCAACGAAATTACATGGATCTCGTCTATCTGGCGTATAGAGTAACAATTCACATTTCCAGGCTGAATAGCTGTTCACTGGAGGTTATTGCGGTATGAAATCGTATTACTTGCATAACAGATTCGCCATCATAATCAAACATTTTAATGATGCGCTGAGCAAGCCATCTATATTGGGAATGAAATGTCCGTTATATACGTATCTGATTCTATTTCTCGTTTTTATTTGTTAAATGGGAGATGTTAGGGAGATCTCTCGTGTCCGTTCCACCCAATTTAAGACTCGTCACCTGGATCAAATCATATCAGTCATAGTCGGAAAATAGTCGGAGCGTCTGTACCAGGAGTTGACTCACAAGTACGAACCGAACAATTCATTATAGCAAAATCAGAAAAAACATCGCGAATTTTCAATGAATAATTACTTACTACAGCTTTTGCCATAGCAAAAATGTTAAACTTACAATTGTAAAATCAGCGACAACAAATTTAGTTTCGATTTTATATTTCTGACACAATTCGTCGGCAACCGAAAACAGTTGTTGCTCAATGTTACCAATTAGCATAATATTCAAACCATCTTTAGCTAATTCCTCTGCGTAGGCTTTACCAATTCCAGACGATGCACCAGTAACTATTGCCCATTCACCAGCACGTCTCAAATACTTCCGCTTCGAACAACAGCATTTACCCACAGTGTATTTAAGCACGATACCCAATAACTGCGTGACTTTTAAATTTAGCCACACGTTTATCAGGAGAATAAGAAAAATCCACCAATCCTCTTGTATTTTCTTCAAAATATCCTGTGTTGAAAGTCGAATGGAACAAATTTGAAAGTGATAAGTTATTGTTTGAAAAGAGGCAACGTTGAAATAAAGGTGAATAAAACTGGACCTCTGTTCATTGTTTATTTCTTGTCATGATGCAGCAAAATATTACACAAGTAGTTGTTTTAAATAGTATTGACTCAACTACAAGCGAGTAAGCTCTCTAGCCAAATAGATAACGTGGACTGCTGACTTGGTCTTCATGAAAATCGTGATATTTGTGTGTCATAACTTCGTTATTGTTCTACAATTTTTCACTTTAGAAGCTCTGTATGATGATTCCAATTAAAAGGAGTAATTAATAGTTAATACCCAATTGTTACTACATCATTCTGTATATGCGATTTGGAGGAACTAGCACATAGATTGATAGATTCACATTCTTTAACTCATGGAAAAATCCCATTGTAACATTTAGAAAATCAAAACAAGTGGTGATTCAGCGAAGAGACTCTTTTCAACGAATTTATCATCAAGCTGTACAGTCGTATATATAAATGGTTTTTAAGAAGTTATATCCGGTGAGGGAATTGAATCTTAGGTGTGAATGCATAAAATAATAATAATAATAATATGAAGTGCAATTATAACTAAAACGCTTGTGATCATAATCATAGTTAAATGTCAAGTGGCAAAGCAAATTAATGTCATATATAGAATAATTCATAGGATGGATAGAACTTGAAAAAGGGTGTGCAATTATAGAATTAGTAGACAAATCGAATAAAACAAAAACGCTACGTAATATTGTGTGAAATTTAATAGTTTACAATTTATCGTTGTAAAGAAGAATTGATTTAGAATGACAAGTGGAACAAGCGAAATGATACCGGGGACAGTTCAAAGTGAGAATACTAATAGTAACAATTGGCGTAATAAGGAAGAGTACACAAATTGAATAGAGAAGATGAAAAATATGAAAAATTGGTAGAGCTAAAATATGATTGGGGATTACCATACTTTAGCATAAAGGGATTAAGACCATGAAAGTTGGAAGGGTTGAACGAACTTTTTCTGTACACAGAGATCTGGCTTCTCTGTTTCGATAGCCAAAGCTTCAGCAATACAGATGAGTCGGGTACGTAGGGATTTAGGTAAGTTACTCTTTGCCTTGTAGATGACTTTAAAGGCGGAGGCTATAGAGATAGGGTGATCATTATCGACCAGATGTTCAATGATCGCGCTTCTTATTGCTCCACTTCCACCTTTTCGTAGCCATGCAGGATAGTGTTCTTGCATCCTCTTGGACAAAACTCGAGTCCAACGACCGATATATCTAGCTCCAAACGAACAGGTGAATTGATAAACACAAATAGAGTTGGTCAACAGCGGGATCTTGTCCTTCAGGTTATTGAACAATAATGGTCGGCTAGTAAAGGCTATTCTCGGAGAGGCAGCAGGGAATGTTCTTTTCAGGGACTGTGTTATCCTTCGTTTCATGATATCGGAAGCTAAGTTCCCTTTGAATTATAAGCTCATGTAAAGTATTTTCTTCGGTACGGTTGATAGGTCACGTTTTGTAGTCTTTGAATGTATATTATTATCTATAAAACGTGATGGAAATCCATTTTCCATTAGGATTTTCCTCAAAATCGATAACTCCACAGTATCAGTGCTACATATGCGCCGAATACTAGTGGCAAGTGACCGGACCAGGTTTCGTTTTCGACCAATGGGTACCCACCTGTAGAAATTTGTCAGTTGACCATTCCATGACAGCTTACGATAAATCGATCTCTTCAGAGTTCCATAGGTCCTTCTCGATAAGTTCACATCGAGGAAATGAATGCTAGACTCGTTCTCCATTTCGAGTGTGAATTTTATTGCAGGATGGCAATCATTAAATACATTTAATATATTATTCAGGTTACAATCACTATTACAAATAATAAGGGTGTCATCTATATACCTTTTATACATTTGAAAGCTTTGGATTATAGGCTTCAGGGGACCATTTTCTAGACTTGACATAAAACAGTCTGCAAGTAGAGGACTTAAGGGATAACTCATTGCAACGCCATCCTTCTGTCTTAGATTGTTCCATTGAAAGTAAACTGTACATTCAATGCAGATCTCAAAAGTAGTTCTTTAAGATCTGTAGTGGGTATCCCAATATTCAGTTTGTTATCTTCAATATATTTGCATATAAAACATATGGTTTCTGTCAGTGGAACGTTCGTAAATAGGGATTCTACATGCAAAGACAACATATATTTATTCGACGCATTTATATCCTGTATACATTCAACAAATTGGAAGGTGTCCCAAATGGAATGATTAGATTTCAGCTAACCACCCAGCTACTGGTTTATAGGGTGATCCAGACATATCCAAGATATGGCGAGGTGGAAGGCCAGCTTTGTGTATGTGTACGTGTGTGCCAATTCTATACTAGTAAATTTCACACAATATTACGTAGCGTTTTTGTTTTATTCGATTTGTCTACTAATTCTATAATTACACACCCTTTTTCAAGTTCTATCCATCCTATGAATCATTCTATATATGACATTAATTTGCTTTGCCACTTGACATTTAACTATGATTATGATCACAAGCGTTTTAGTTATAATTGCACTTCATATTATTATTATTATTTTATGCATTCACACCTAAGATTCAATTCCCTCACCGGATATAACTTCTTAAAAACCATTTATATATACGACTGTACAGCTTGATGATAAATTCGTTGAAAAGAGTCTCTTCGCTGAATCACCACTTGTTTTGATTTTCTAGATTCACATTCTCCAAATAAACGCATTATTCTGACCAAGGGAAAATGCATTTATTGGTAGATATCTTTCACTGATTAAGACAATAATTTATCCATGATCACACGTGTGATTCCTGTAGATTTATTTGGTCTCAAGATAGACTTGACTACGAGTCAACATGTGGGAAATCACTGAAAATAGTGAGTAGCAGAGTGGCGTTCCTATTTGTCTATGAATATTTAGTAATGCTGTATGGCATATCACTCATTGTACTACTAGAAACTCATCAAGGAAGACAGAAAGACTTTCTGTTGCTAATCATTTTGATAAATGATACAACTGCACCACTTAATCTTCCTGGACATTAACTTATCAGCCACGAATTTAACATATAAATATCAATCGTAACTAGTACCCAAACTGGTTCATCAGTGATCAGGTGAGAAGTTGTGGCCAGTAGGGAGCTTCAACAACCTTGAAGAAACGTGAATTTATTCAACGATGCAGATAAACATCACTGATCATCAGTTAAAGCGATAAAACCGAGTGTCATTTTTCTCAGTGATCATTGCGATGATGTTATATCAAATACATAGGATATTTGATATTCTGAAAATTATGCATGTGACAAATCCCTTTAGATAAACTATCCGAATTGTACAATTGAATTGAATGGTCTGGTTATGCTCGTTGAAAAACTATCTACCTGCATCAATAAGAATTATCACCAGATGAAATTTGGGTATTGAGAGAGTTTTGAAGGAGAATAAATCTTCCGGACCATTTCTCGGAAGAAATGAAACGACGAATGTCAGTTTGGACAGTGACACATCACAAAGGATTTACAATTGGGGCAGGCAGTGAACAATTCATTCAGGAATGTCGAAACTTCTATGTTTTCGTCTGTAAAAAACGACCTCCTGTCAACCACAAATCCCTGTATTGTAGGTCTTTATGGATCACTGTCGTGGTAGACTTTATAAACTATCGGTTAACAGTCTAGGAAGCCAGTACAAGCGTTTTTCAGCATAGATGAGGGAGATACTGTTTCACTGCTACATCTCTTTTCTCAAGAGAAAGCAGGTTAATCAACCGACTCCAATGATAGCGGTAACTGTTTTACCAATGACATTAAATGTTTTCGGTTTAGTGGCTATTCAACTAGTGGCTATTCTAGTATGATAAGTCCTTCAGAGATGATTATAAAGGTAGTATACTCTGTTAAGTCATTGTGGAATGCAGGTGCGACCATCACATCCAGATGTTAACTATCTCTCTTCTTTAAATCTTTCGCCTATATAGGAGGCTATGGGGTTTGTCAGACTGAATCAGTACACAGCAACACTGAACTTTGCATCAACAGTATCACTCACACAGAATATACATCAATAAACTTTTCTGAGAAATGGCTAAATCAAAATGAATAAAATTTTCTTTCCATATTGGTTACCTTTGTGATTCAGTTAATAGTGCAGTTACGGTTATTTTCTACATTTCATTCTACAAGCGATTCCAGCTGATGATGACTTCTACATTACATTCAAAACATCAGAATTGCATTGCATTACATTGCAAATAAATGTTTACATATGGGTGCATGAAAACAACTTGATGTGTACTTTAAGCGAAGCTGAACTTTTCTGAACTGTGTTTATTTGTAGCTGAAAGTTAGTCTAATTACACATACACACGCTGCTTTCCAATTTTCTCTTTCTTTGTTATTAGATGAGAAATTAGGAGGGAAACACAGGGTCGACTGGGTGAAATCCTTGGATACAATATTACTATTAAGTATTTATTTCAATTTCGGAATTTCATTTCGACTGATTGGACCAAAGTGCTCTCTGTCAAGGTGACATGTCAGCTTCTTGTGTAGATGCTTCGTCGATGTCTGGGAGTATAATTAGAAGTTGACTGGTGGATGGTGACTAGCAGTGGAATACAGGATGCTTGAAACTATGGGATGGGAACACTATCACCCACTGCATAATGCAGGCACACACAGATAACGAGTCATAAATAAGATGAGTTGAGTATCCTGAATTACAATGCTAGTCGCCATCCACCAATGAATTACTATTAAGTATTTACGGATTCGTGCTTAGGCAGTTATTTCAGTCATAATGAAATATTGGCTTCTGAATGTGATATGGGACTTCAGAAGCACGTCTCCACTTTACTCTATTTTCTGAAGTCCTATTTAGCTGGTCCCACGATTGTCCATAATCTCTCATCTCCTCTGACGGTCCCTCCCATATC